CAGAAAAGAGGCGGATCCATCTCGTGACTGGCCGCTGGACACGTGGCTGGCCTTGGTCTTGACACTGTGATCATATGAGAAATGCCCGTGATGGCGATTGCGTCAGCAAAATGGCATTCAGGTTGCCACTCAAGCAGACTGTGCTTTGATCGAAAAAATGTAGTTCATCAATCAGTCATGTGCTGTCAATCTACTATCTGAAGGGATACAATATTATACACTTTAATTAAAATTAAGAATATGAAGAGTATCTGGCTTTTGAGATAACATTGTTGGGAAGACTTTCCGTTCGTATGAAATTGCATGAAGAAGAGATGCGAAGGTCGATCTCACTAGAAGACGATGACCGATTTGTGCTGTACTCAGCCGATCGACTTCTCCATGCACTTTCATCCGAAATGAAGGTCCCCCTAACAAAGCTATCTCAGGAAATTCATCGAAACCAAGTTTCTCTTGGTATCTAAAATTAAGGACACTATCAGATCTGGAACTAATTCATGTAAAAGTATTAAGTAACACTAACCAGCCACAAGACGTAATGGTTGACGAAAAATGACGTGTTGCTGATATGAAATTCTGCTCGTCTGGACTTATGAATACTTGAATATGTCGAATGAACAGGATAAGCCAGTGCAACTTGACAATCCTTTTAAGTCATTCTGGGCATTCATGCCTCACGGGTTGTCATGGAAAGCATTTCTCAAAGAACCAAGTGGTGCATTAGTCGCCTCGGCGGAGAAAAATTGAGTTGCGAGCCAGTGGGATCGAACTTAACGAGTCACCATAAAGGGTATGCTGAAAGTGGGACGTTTAAGAAACCCTAAAGTGTCAATTAGCTTTCACATTTGAGAATGTGCCGAGTCCACGGTCTGGTGCTGGGAGTTATGACAACTACTATGGCAGAGGACTTCGGACAAGATGCGTTCAACTGAGTCACCCTGACAAGACCAAGTTGCGAAAACGAGGTCAACCCACTTCTAAGTGTGCTTTTAGTATCCAATACCCAGGATCGATAGTATTGCATCTTCGTTAGAATACTTTGACCCCCAAGCGTAATGAATCTCGAGACCCAGTCTACTTTAAGGTACAAAGTACAATAAAGTTTACTTGCAAAGTCAATATTTCACACCAAACCGGCAAGGAGATACAAATAGAATTGTCTGAGAGATTAAAGAACAGACAGTGCGTAAATCCTGGGGGCACAAGCATTGCTATTATTGCATAACTTTGATGAAAGACTAAAAATAAGGATAAATAAAAGGTGTGCTTCGAAGAGTCCCTTAGTGGTGTAGTGTGAGTCGACTTTTCCGGAAAAGTTGAATGGTAAGAATTAGCAAATTGGTCGCATCGGAGACTAGGAGTCGTGGGATGAAAACTGCTGGATTGTGCGAAGAGGTCCTCGGCTCAGCGTACCGCGACCCCGATCAACCCGTGTTGAGCTCTTGCAACACGGAAAAGCATAATTTGCAAAAAAAACCGCGTCAACATGCCAAACAAAGAGAGAATGTGGCTAGTCACTTCGAAACTCATCGTTCCTTGAGTCTAAACTACCGTATTTTCCGGCGTATAAGACGACTTTTCACACCATAAATTTCTGCTCCTTAGTAGAGGGTCGTCTTATACGCCGAGTGTAGTTTAGGGATGATATTGACGCAGAGACAGTAGTCAAGTCTTTCAAGAAGCGTGGAATATCAGATTCATCAGATGGTATGGAGTACGACCAGTTGTGGTAAGATGAAGAGGAAGCCGAAGCTAAGAGCACACCATTTAATACGGAAACTGTCACGCTAGCAAAATATACCATAACTTTCAGTTATGATGCATGCTACTCGCCAGTGACTTGCCCAGCACTTGCTCTCTCTATTGTTTGTTAACTTCCTCCTATCATTGTCAATTCCAGTTTAGTTTATAGCTTAGAAAACAAACAGTATGCCAGCTCCCATGCGTTTATTGTGTTATCCTTTCATTCAGCTTTTCATTTTAATCCACTTTCACTTATGTGTAACGGTACATCTTTGATGACATCCAGCCTTATACTTATAAGTGACAGTTTTGCTACTTGGCATTAAAATTACCATGTTGAAATCAAATCTGATGTTCTGGCTATATTTACTTCAAGTCATTTTTATTGTTCCTTAACAATGGTCAATTAACTCGACAAACCCATGCTTGCCTGGAAGAATGATGGGGAAGAGAGTAATGGAAAGATCAAAACGGTCGATTTGAACAACTAACCCTTGCAAGGAAGTTTCATCAGTGCAGAAAATCCAGATGCACTGCATGAGCAAACACGACGTCTGATTCGCACAGCCTGACGCTTGGCAAGTGTTCCTGGAACCAAGGCTTCTGATGGATTGGAGGAGAGATACACTAAATTAACACCGGCACGTGTGCGCTCTACACAATAATGGCTGGCGCCAAGTTCACTTTCCGCGTCGGCATTCGTTTCACTTCTGCTTCGTCTTCCGGATCCGGGCTCTTCACGAACGCCCTCTTGTTTAATCACAACAGCACTCGATGGGGTAATGAATGACGGCGATGACTTTATGG